ATGAGTACCGGACGGTTTTAAGGAGCTGAATTTGAAATCTTTTGGTCATACATGAGTAGGGAACATCACCCCAAAGTTTCGGCTTCCTAGCTTTTTTCGTTCCCGGGCCAGTAATTTTCGCGTCAAAATTTCCACGCGTTCGTACATGGGTCCGGGCGCTTCTAAACACCTGATTTTGCTCGTACATGAGTGGTGAACATTCCCTCAAAGTTTCAGCTTCATAGCTCTTACCGCTCCCGGGTTAGAAATTTTCGCGCCAAAATTCCCACGTGCTCATACGTGGGCCCCGGGCGCTTCTAAACACTTGATTTTGGTCGTGCATGAGTGCGGAACATACCCTTAAAGTTTCAGCCTTCTAGTTCTCCCCGTTCCCGGATTAAAAATTTTCGCGCCAAAATTTCCACGTCCTCGCACATGGACCCCGGGTGGTTCTAAACACCTGAATTTGCTCATACATGAGTAAGGAACATTCCCTCAAAATTTCAGTCTTCTAGCTCTTCCCGTTCCCCGGTTAGAAATCTTCGCGCCAAAATTTCCACGTGCTCGTACGTGGGCTCCAGGCGCTTCTAAACACCTGATTTTGCTCGTAAATGAGTGGGGAACATTCCCTTAAAGTCCCAGCTTTCTAGTCCTTCCCGCTCCCCGATTTGTAATTTTCGCGCCAAAATTTCCACGTCCTCGCACTTGGACCCCGGGCGGTTCAAAACACCTGAATTTGCTCGTACATGAGTAGGGGACATTCCCCCAAAGTTCCAGCTTTCTAGCTTCTCCCATTCCTGGGCTAGTGATTTTCGCGCCAAAATTTTCACGTGCCCGCACGTGGGTCCCGGGCCCTTCTAAACAGCTGATTTTGATCGTACATGTGTAAGGAACATTCCTCTAAAGTTTCAGCTTTCTAGCTTTTCGCGTCCCCGAGTTGGTAGTTTTTGCGCCAAAAATTTTCACGTACCCGCACGTGAGCCCCGGGCTGTCCTAAGGGGCTGAGTTTGAAAACTTTTGGCCGCACATGAGTAGGGAACATTCCCTCGAAGTTTCAACTTTCTAGCTTTTCTCATTCCCGAGTTATGAATTTTCCCGCCATAATTTTCACGTGCCCGTACGTAAACCCCGGGAAGCCGTGGGCCGCTGGATTTGAAATCTTCCTGTCACACACAGTTAGGGAACATTCCCCCAAGGTTTCAGCTTTCTAGCTTTTCTCGTTCCCGAATTATCATTCTTCGCGCCAAAACTTTCACGTGCTCGTACGCGGCCCACACCTGCGTGAGAGTTGATACTGCGGTCCTGGGATGGCACTTGGCTGGGGAACACGCTGGCGAAATTTCAGCCTCAAAGCTTGCGTGGTTGGCGAGTTGAAACACCCGGACAGACGAACACATACACACTGACAGGGTCGTTGCATTATGCGTTTTTGCTGCCTGTTGCAGCGCTCTAGCGCTGCACGGCAAAAACGCATAAAAATGTAAACGTAACCATGCTAATCCTCAGAAGCTCCATTTTTGCATATTATGCAAATGCAAAAACGCATATTGGGCAAGCGGTTGTCTGCGTGCATGTATATGTGTGTGTTTGCATTTTTTGTCACCCACTTTCAACTCGAGAACCAGAAAAGCTAGAAAGCTGAAACTTCGTAAGCATGTGCCCACCTCCTGTGT